GTGTACGCGATTAAGAATAACAACAGATAGGAGGGGCATAAGAAAAGATATAAGAACCATATGATAATGAATAGAGCCCATAAGAATCAACTAGCAACCGAGAACCTAAACAGAAGAGGAAGCGAAGAGAGAGAGAAAGACGAGAGAGAGAGAGAGAGAGAGAGAGAGAGAGAGAGAGAGAGATTACGGTTAGGTGAAGGGCAATAAATGCTTGCTTCTCATCCTCATTCGATGGACCAATTGTCACCCATTTCAGTTATTGGATCATTACATTAACTGGTCTATCATCTTTATAGAAAAACATCCTTGATAGTTAGTTGATTGGGCAATGTTTGCCTGCAAGAATATAAAGCTATAATTGTGGAAGGTTTGGAAATAATTACATAGATGCTACATGGTTATAGCAAAATGATTCTATTATTATATATTCAATGAATAACACATACCAAGTCTCTCAGAATGACCATGATGTTTCTGCACAATAATAATCACGCTTTCTATACTCTACAACCTCATCATCCTCTTGGTATTACATAACTTAACAGCATTTGGAGCATTTATAGCGCAGGGATCTACAGATGGATCAACACGAACAAAATATTGATGAGTGTCCAAGTCAGCAACTATTCTTAAACTTCTGCAGACACCCAATATGGAGTTGAAGCCCAATAGCAATCAAAAGGGTAATGATGTGTGGATCCAAGTTATTCAAAATCACATTTTTCCATTTTTTCCTTCAATTTCCGAGCAAAGCAAACACATTAATAGAGAGATTGAAGCAGGCAAATATAAAAAGAGAGCCAACCAATACAGAAATTAATCCAACATATTATCACAAATTTCCACTCAATCACATATAATACGTACCAAATGACTCCAAAATCTATAAACTGGTATTTTTCTCACATTTGTCTTATTTATTCAACACTAGGACATTTTATCTTCCAATTTCAAATTTACCAGTTCTTGCCTCAACAAATTCAAACTTGCTGATAATCAATGAAACAGTAAATTTGAAACAAATCTAGGAATCAAAACTTTTCATTCAATCGAAACTAATACCAATCCACAGATGCTATATGTTGAACTCACAAACAACAAAATTCACCAAATGTAGCAATAATGAAGACTGAATGGTGACAATAGGAACTAGTTGATTCCCAAACAAGAAGAACAATATACATACAAAGCAATTAATTTTCCAATTCAGAGTAGGTTCAAATGAATATCGATGTAATAGAGTAACTAAATTCAAATCAACAATAAAATCTAAAAACTAGTAAAATCCATTAACTAAATTCAAAATCCACTAAAATCAATTGATGATTAGTAAATAGTATGTATTTAAAGTCAATTCAAGCATGGAAATAGAAATATTGATAATACTTGATAAAATGATCATTCATCAAATAGTCCATAAGCGCTCCTTCTGCCATGTTGAATTGGCTTAATTCTTGGATAGGAATATCTTATCAAGTTAAACTATATGATAGTATTCGATTTTAGGTGACATTTATGTAGTATTAAAAACATAGCATCAATAGCAACTCCTCTGTTAGACTAATATACACACTACTAGTTCTATTGCACACCCAATTCTATTGTTATTTCTGTCTTTTTGATTGTGTTGGATTGTATCCTGAACTCCAAGCATGCAACTTGATAAAAAATGAATGTACTAATTCCTTGCTTAACAACTTTCCTGTACCGTACACATCTAAAGTAAATTGTCAAATGTGTAAAATTTCAGGTATCTTTCTTTATAGGCACAGGTAAACTCAGATTCTGATTTATTATTGATATATGTTTTATGCAAGTCTATGTCCAAGGCAAAGAATTACCTCTGTATTGAACTCATCCAACAAATCTTTTACAAATGGCATCTCTTCGAGCAACTCGTTCTTTAATCCCTTCAAATACTGAGCAAGGAATGCAGGTAGAGTCAGTCAGCATAAAAGTTTATTTGCATGTGAAGCTAATTTAAGGGTTGAGTGGGGAACTCTGATAGTGGAAACACTGGTGGATGGCCCATCAAATTCAAACCTCGCCACGTGATGACCTAAAAATAGTTTTCCAATGCTTAGAAAAAAAAATTGCTTTTCAATTTTTTGGGCACTGTGTGTACAGTTTCCTGGGAGAAGTTGGTAGTTTAATCACTAACTTCTTGTGCTATGTACTTGTCAAATGTATCACTGATAATATCTAGAAACATGAGGAAATATAACATTTTTAAAACCTCAATTCTCAATAATATAAAAAAATTCCAGACCTGTATAAAGTTGGAGGTTATTATCTTTCCATCTGGATTATGTGGCTGCACCATTTGCTTGAATTGATGATGACTAATCTGGATGACCTGAGAAAGTCTCTTAGTTCTCACCGTAAAAGGTTGTGGGATATTGAAAAGTACCCCTATTTCTCCTGCCATGTCTGCAACCCCTAATTTTGACAAGAACTGGAAATCCCATTTGAACTAAGTTAACATCAAATACAACTCTTTGTTCTGTTAGTTCAATGATTCAAATGTAGAAAAATGGAATAACTAGGATTTATTTCAGCAGATAGGAAACTTTCATCAGTTTGGTCTCATATAAGATCATCTTGTGATTTCCTTCGTTGAATGGATTTTTTTTCTAGTGAAATTTCTACATATTACAATTTTTAGATTGGTGTTGGTCATTCTTTGCCTTGCATGTTACATAGCAACTAGAAAGGTTACTGCTTTCCTATGACAAATCAAAACTATATGCAACGTAGCTGTGAAATGAAACCACAGTTACAGATTGGTTTTGGCTCTCCATTTTATTTTCTTTTGAAGTAATATGTTTTTGTGTGCAAGTAATTGTGTATGTGAGACTCAATGTGGGTTGATTAGTAGTTTCCTGTGCATGACATATTGTGTCCCATTACAATCACCATCATTTTCTAGTTTTACTGTTCTACATTTTTTTCCCCCCTGCAATAGGTGTTTTTCCATAAAAAAATTGTGGATCTTTGTAGAAACAAGGACCTTGATTTGTCAGTCAATGCAGAAGTTCATTACTAATTTCTTAGACATGGTCAATCATGCATCTTCCGTTATTGTTTTTTGTCTTTGCAATACTCACGCACTGAACATATCAGCTCCATTTCATTGAAAAAAAAGTAAAACCATACCTGCTCCGTGCCATTTTTGTATATCACGACATCCTGCATTTCAGATGGTCAGATTTTGCTTCTGGTAGTGTACATAGAATAACATGTGAAAGGAGAAGTAACCATACCACTGCTCCAGATACTAGAATGTAGAAATCCGTAGGTATCTCATTTTGTAAGTTGATATCAACCTTTGGTGGAAAATATTTTGCTTTCATTTCGGACACCTGAGAGGAGAAGATGCCACAAGATGCTGCTTAATTAGATGACAATCTGGCAACTCTGAATTTAAAATTTCCACATTGATTTTGGCTCATGCTATATGGACTCATTATGCATCCTGGATGTGTGTATGGACTGTCTATCAGACACTTCTTCTTCCCTATGTAGGACATGGAGACATGATGTTTTAAGTATTTGAATTCTTCTTAAACGTTTACACTAAAATCTTATTGTATCATATTATGTTTGACATGGATGCCTCTAGCCTCGTATTGGTATTATCCATGGAACAGAAGAACAATTTAGTGAAACATCATAATGAAATGCTGGAGCTAGGAATTGTTTACCCTTTTTTTTCCCCCTTTCTAAACATGTATGTATTTGACATGGGTACTTCACCCTACTTTGGAATATTCATATATTACCAACAATATATACATATATATATTCTTAACAAACATTCTCTTGGCTTCAAGGAACACATAACTAATAGTTTGTCTATTATTATGTCATGTTGAGTCTGAAATAGGTACTTCACATTTTGAAGTGTCAATGTGCTCAGTTAATAATATTCTTATTGTTGTTATTGTTTTGTTGCTATTAAACTAGAGTAATTACTATAATATTGCAACATGATCTATAATGTGAAGGAGAGGGAAAAGATATTGTACCAGTTGGACGATAAGGTCTTCAGAAACTCCTTTGAAGAGATAGGCATTTTCCACAGTTCCATGAAAAAGATGCTGAGCAATACTTGATCTAATTGCCTTAGGTAGGTCTTCAAGCACTTCCTCCTACTATAATTCTGTTGTCCTAAATTTCAGTTGCATATTTGCCAGCATTTGCTCTTTCAAACTTTCTGGAAGTCGATTCTTGCTTGCATATCGCAAAATTTGATTGATGGTGTCCCTCTATAAAGCCATTATTAGATAATACTCATAATAGTGTAGTCTAGTAGATTGGGGAGGCACACTTCTGAAAAGTTGAGGGTCTGGTCATTTTGATTCCCTCCCCACACTAGAGAGAGTGAGAGAACCGTGACTCCAAAAGTCAAATGTGTTCATAAAAAGGGTTTTAGAGGAATTACCATGGCAAAACCTTATTATTATTATCAAAGAACCTATGTTGGCATACTCACACATTAGGGGAAACCAAACCAGCCCTTTGCCGCAAATTAGTAAAAGAATAAATAAATAATGGTGCAACAATGACATTATGACAAGAAAACCTTTGCTAGAACTAGTAAGCTAGCCACTTAAGATATAAAGGTAGATGCAAAGTACACTGCTCACATAGGCATAAAATATTCATTCAAATGCTCAAAGCCCTTACAACATTAATCTAGTTCTTACAACTCAAACACCCAATATAAAAACAAACAGCAGATTCATTTCATCTATCCATCAGTTCAAGCACAGAAAGGTACAGATTCCACAGTGCATAAAAACAAACAGAAAAACAGAGAAGAGAAGGGAGGAGGGGGATATAAATATATATATATATACAGAGAGAGAGAGAGAGAGAGAGAGAGGCTAAACAAGGGTTTCAGGAAGAAGAAAGAGAAGAGAGAGTTGAAGCAGATTACAAATTGAAGCCAAGTTCAAGTCGAAGTAGTTGAAGCAGACTGCGTCCATGGACCTTTCTTCTAGTAAGGCGAAGCAGGCGTCAATGGATCTCCACCCATTCAATTGATTGAAGAAGTGTTTGAAGAAACCCTTCCCCTTCACCTACGTCTCCCTCTCTTCTTAGAAACTGTGTTTTTTTTCTTTTCTTTTTTTTGAATTGTATCAGTCTATTTGATAATAAAAAAATAAATTAAATATTTTTTTTTTTCGTAAGTGGTGCCAAAAAAATTGGGTTTTGGTGCCTGAAGTATTTTAGGATACCATTCACGACCCACACAGTAAGTCGTAAAAAGTGACTTATTTTTAATGACTGGCAGACGTGTGCCGTATATAACTGATGTATTAACGGCATGCTATATGTATGTCGTAGAAAGTTTTATCAATTACGGCACGCAATGCAACCCGAGAAAAAATTATCATTTTTACCATTAACGGCCTACGCAATAGACACGTCATGGTTAGTCTATTATTTACGACATGCAAAAAAAGCAAGTCGTAAAAGTGAGAAATTACGGCATGCATGCATTGTATGTCGTTGATGTGGTGCCGTAAAAAGTCAATTTTGTTGTAGTGCAAATTGTTTATAGCAAATCTAGTTCACTCTAGACTTGGAAAAAGCCTCGAATTCCCAAGTTCAAAAGCAACTAAAGATCCCTCATATCTTCTAGCTGACAAGAGCTTGCATAAGGAAACAAAATTGCAGTTTCTGCACCAAAACCTAATAAAATTAAGTCTGAACTATACCATTACTGATTAAAAAGAGAAAAAAGCATCACATAATTAACTTCAATACAAGTAACCACTGGCAAATGACAGTAAAGTAAGAAATTCGAGTTCCCTATTATCTCATTAAGTAGCTGAATCCAAAAATAGAATAAATTCTAGATAGCAAAATGATGTTTCACCCTATATGCAAAACAACTATGCCACGTAAACCAAGATTATGCTAGGCACAAAATTCTGCTAAAGCTATAAAGGGTAGGATCAGTTGATACCAAAAAATTAAAATAATCCTGTGTAAGGGAGATATTACTGACATGATAGAATGGCGGCGAACTGTTTAGTCCCCCTCCTTTAGAACAGCAGCAGCAACAGCCTCCCATTTCTATTCAGTTATCTCTATTGTCCACCAGAAGCTATCAGCAATTTAGTCATCATGTTCCTTCTATTTGGCATAAGAAAAGGCATTCTATTAGATGAAAAATGCTTGGCATAACACAAGGACATTCTATAGATCAAAGGTAAACAATGTCATAGTTAAAGCCCAAAAGAAAACTGCTTTTAAAATTCAGACCGACTAAAAAATCATCAATAAATATCAAATAACATGTGAAAGGGCATCTGAGACAAGTATAAGATTGAATCAGCACAGATATACACACAAACAACTGAAGTACATCAGTAATAAGACACTAACTTGATGGGTGAGTGAATGCTTAATTGTGTGGTGTATACCCATTTCGATTCAGTGGATATGGGTTCTGATACCCAGTTCTTGTACCAAAAATTTGTTCTCTTTGTCGGCATTTTCTGCTTCTCTGTCTCCACCTACTTTTTTCCTCTTTTTGATTTCTTCAAGAGATAACTTATCAGGTATTTCAAAACTCTTGTCTTCAATTTTCTTTTTCTATTTTTATGGTAATTAAAAAAATCTTACTTGTTTTAAAATCTTATGTTGTTTCTGATAATTTTGTTTGTTGCAGATTCAAAAGAAATGACAGGTCATCAGAGGACAACTCAAACCAATCGAAGGTTTCTTCTGCAGAAAACAGTCTTAAAGATTCGATTCCTATTGAGCCAAAAACAGAGTTACAACCGTGGATATACAGGGGTCGAATCCAAACAAGAAGACAAATGAATTTTCGGATGGGTTTGACCAAAAACAGACACCCGAGTTCTCTTTCAAATTCAAGTTTCCAACTTTTGAAAAATTCAATCAGAACAGGAAAAAAAATGGGGGTTCTATCAGCTTTGAAGCAGCCCCAGATTCGAGCATCGCTAAGTACGAGTTCATGCCTGTTGTCAAGTGTTCAAGTATATATATATATAATAACAGCAACAGCAGCCTCTCACAGCGAAAGGAAGAGAAGAGAGATGAGATGAGTGCCTTACCGTCGAACTAGTCTGGCCGCCGAAGATATGAGTGCACCATTCGCCTCTCACAACAATTGATTTTGATCCTCTCTCTATTTTGAGTGCATCGTTCGGCTGTGATCCTCTCTCTGTTTTGGGACACTGCAGTAAAGCTTTGATGAAGAATATCAGGACCGTCGTGTTCGCCTTCGATCACCACAGCTATTCGGTTAATTAGCAGTCAATCAGAACAAGGTTTGAAGAGCCCCTTTCCCCTTCCAACGAATTTTGGAACCCTATTTCTTGTCCCTCTCTTTCCTCTATGTTACTTTATCATTATAACCCACTAGAACCAGAGAGGCAAGAGTCAGTGTATCTAAATCAGATAAGAATTCAGATAAGCAATGAAAAGAGCGAAAAATCCATGGCTTCAATAATTATTGGCAATCCCTAATGGAGGTACATAAAATCCATTTAAACATATTGGCAATCCCTAATTGAGGTAAATAAAATACATTTATCTAGAATTTATATGTGCCCTTAATTTTTATTTTTTTAGTAAATCTGTTACATTTAATATTTTCTGTTAATTGCATATAAAGCAAATAACATGAACGAGTTATTAACTTAACAAGTCTATATTCAAGTACTCATTTTTTCATAGCTAGTCTAAAAAAATAATATATGGGACACTATGTGTCTAAGTAGTTTTCAAAATTAGGAAAAACAATGAAATTAGTTTTGAAAATTAGGAAAAATAAAGATTGAAAAATAGAGAAATCGAGTGAGGGAGAGGGAGAGAGAGAGAGAGGATCTATAACTGAAAAGAGAAAAATAGAGAAATAATCGAATAAGCAACGCCGACGGCACTGACGATTGCTCGGAGGAGAACGCGGGTGACATCGGTGGCGACACTGAAGGAGGAGAACGAATGACGTTGGTGGCAGCGCTAAAGGAGAAGAAGGGGGGCTGAAGACAGAGAACATATGTTTTTCAAGAGAGGGATGAGAGGAAAACTGAAGCACCAAAAAAAAAAAAAAAGAAGGGGGAACTAGTAGGATATATATATTTTTTTCATCACCGCCAATATCACAAAGTTCTCCCTCCAAAATTGGTGATAAAATAATTTTCTCCCCAAAAATTTTAAAATGTTAAATAGTGACAAAAATATATTTATCACTAAATGGTCTTAAAATATTTAAAATCAAATTTTTCAAAAAAAATATATATAAAATTATTGGTGACGAAAATATATTCCTCACTAATAATTTTATAATTTGTGACAAATTTTTTTTCTCACCAAAAGTGTCAAAATTTTGGCGCCACCGAAAAAAATTAGTGGGAAAACCTTCGGTGACGAAACTTAATTTTTTCTCACCTAAAAAGAAGTATTTGTTGATGAAAATAAATTTCGTCACCTATTATTTTTACTTTTTTATTATATATAACAAAATTTTATAATTCGTCGCGGATTATTCTTATTTAGTGACGAAATTTATTTTCTTCACTACTTTCGTTACCATAGGTTACTTAAAGAACTAATTAACTTGTGTTATGTTTTGAGAGTGAGAGAGAGAGAAAAAAGGAGAAAGGAAAATTGATAAACAATAAAAAGGGGAGGGGGGAGTTAGTAGTCTATTTTTTTCATTACCGCCCAATATGTCAAAATTTTCCTTCCCAAATTAGTGACAAAATAATTTACTCACTAAAAAGCCTCAAAATATTAAAAATTATCAGTGATAAAAATATATTTCTCACCAAATGGTCTTAAAATATTTAAAATCAAGCTTCTCAAAAAATATATATATGTAAAATTATTGGTGATGAAAATATATTCCTCACCAATAATTTTATAATTGGTGACAAATTTTTTTCCTCACCAAAAGTCTCAAAATTTTGGCGCCACCAAAAAAAAATTAGCGGAAAACTTTCGGTGACGAAACTTATTTTTTCCTCACCTAAAAAGAAGTATTTGTTGACGAAAATAACTTTCGTCACCTATTATTTTTATTTTTCTATTATATGTGACAAAATTTTGTAATTCGTCACGAATTATTCTTATTTAGTGACGAAATTTATTTTCTTCACTACTTTTCGTCACCATAGGTTACTTTTGTTGTAGTGTCTGTATTGCATGCACCGGGCTCGGAGCATCATACTAACTGCATTGTATTTTCAATTCCAAATTGAATACATGTTAGCTGTAGCATTTCATATGCCATGTTTAGAATAGCCGAGCCTGCTATAGTTGCATTTTTGCATGTGTTGCATTAGACATTTCTGTACAATTAGGATCATGCATGGATTTCTAATCGGTTTCTGTTTTGGCTTGGAGTACTCGGTAAGTTTTATGCTTTAGCATCCTTACATGCGTGTGAGTGACTGCCATGAATAGCATGCTTACCATGAGGCTATATGCTTGTGTGATATAACTGCCTGAATGCCTGTGGGTGAAGGTTGGGTTGTTTAGATTGGAACAAATCATCAACTGTGAGTTTTAAGCCCACTAGATAGTGGCAAAACCATCTTTTCTTAAGCCCACCTGAGGGTGGCAAAATCTGCATTTTAAGCCTACTTGCGAGTAGCAAACCATCTTTCAAAAACAAATAGGAAATGTTTTGTTCCAATTCAGGCGACCCAGTCTATACTTGTATGCTGTGCCCATCACGTAGTAAATCTAGGCTAATAACCGGAATAAGAACACACAATGTTTTCAAAACTTGATATCATGGTTAGTAGAGGCCGATCTTTGATCGGGCGAGCGGGGGTGCTCACGAAGTGACCTTCCCCAATCGTACCCAAGTTCCCGAGCCGAGGCAACTTTGGTGATGACAGACACGTGGCCTTAGGCAACGAGTCAGGGTTTCCTAAATTTCCCCAAAATAAAATATTTAGGTGATGACTCTGTATCTGGAAAAACAGTCCATGTTTGACACTTCTTTCAAAAAAACTGTTTTCTCAAAACGATTTGCCGGATTTGGACTCTTTGGTTCAGACTTAGAACCGTGACACAAATCGAGTCCGAGCTGTAGCGAGGTCCCCCGCGGGCTTGTTACACACGTATTCAAAGAAGTATCAAAATAACAATGCAGTTTGAATGATGCACCGAGCCTCGGTGCATGCAATACAAGATGAATGGATGCAAGCATAAGGTATGCTAATTGAAAGATGACCCTAGTCAAACCATCAAAAGTAGTTAAATAAAAGGGAGAAAGACATGGGGTTGGAAGACATACACATTATTACATTACGCTCTCACGAAGGAGAGTCCGAATGAATAAGCTAGCTAAGCTAATTAAGCTAAGCTATTTAAACTAATTATTACAAAACTTGAATTAATAATTAACTAACTATCTAAACTAACTAGTTAAGGATATAACTAAGCTAAACTAATTAAATATTACAACACAAACTAATTAGCTATAACTAATTAAGCTAATTAAATATTACAACAGAAGATAATTAGCTACAACTAATTAAATTACAAAGTCACTAATTAAACTAGTTAACCAAATGACAAATGGCTAATTAAACTAATTAACTAGTTCGGGAAGCGAAGAAGGCCCATGCATGCTCGGTTTCCACCTGAATAACATCCGTTGTCTGCCCTCGAAAGCCTCTATTTGCATAACTCTTGCTTCTCTAGATCAACTCTTCCATGCTTCACAAGCACACTACCCAAAATTCACTGGTGGCCGGCCGACCACCATTGAGGGGTTACCGTCCAACACTGATGGCCTGCCGGCTAGTAACAGTGGCTAGTCGGCCACTGATGACTCATTTTGTTTTCCTGCAACAGAGGGAGGGCAAAGAGAGAATATTTTCACAGGTTGTATGTACTGTGTGTCACTCCTTGTCATCAAAACATCTCAAATGAGCAATACACTTGGCTTCAAAACCATCAATCAAGCAATTTTATTGCATGATGGCCAAAAAACTAAGGTGTACAAGTTAATAAATGCACAAATAAGACCAAAAGGACCATCACCCTATCATGCATGATCAAGGGCAATAGAGACATAGGAAACTTGGCACATTTTCATCACTTTGAGTATGAAATGCCGTAATTTTCCTTGTGTTCAATTAACGTCCGATTGAACACATCAAAACACAATCAAAATTCTTATCTTTGCTCACTTTTAGTTTCAACTTTACTCATTTTAAATTACCAACCATTCATTAAGCAATTAAGTCCATTTCTGTTAAGTCCTCTAAAGAGAAGGAAGTATCAAACAAGGGGTAGTTTAAGGCAAGAGAGATGTGTCATGCCGTTGGTAATGAACCCCCAAAAGAGGATTAAACCATTGAGCAATGAACCTCAATCTCAAGCTTAAGATATCCTAAGGTTGAAACAACCCTCAAAGTAAATAAAGAGTGAAGAAGTGAGGGAGATTGCAGAGATTATAAGTGCTGAAATGAAGTGAGAAAAGCACTAAAACATGCAATCAACTCAAACAAGTGGTGCCTAAAGGCCTCAAACACCAAGCTTGTGAGGACTATTACACTAGAGGCATGCAAAACAAGACTCAAATGTAATAAACAACCCGAAATAAAGTTAAAACAGTGTAAAATAAAGCCTAAAACATGCCGGAATTAAGCTACAAAAGGCTAGAAAATTAAGCTAACACATAGAGTTAACTTGGCTAGCAAACAAGACATAAAGAGGGGAGGCTAACCCCTCCAATTTTAGACTTCAAAGCATGATTTTTTCCACTGAAAATACTCTGAAATTCAGTGCTAAAAGCCCACAAAAAGATGGTTTGAAGGTGAGAAACAAAGGTGAAAAAGCCTTAAAAGCAAGGAATAAAGAAGGGTGAGACACCCCCTCTAACCTTAGATGGCCTAAAATATCAATTTCAGTCCACAAAAATAGAGTTTTTTACAGCTCAAAAATAGCCCAAAAACAGTTTGAAAAGATTAGAAAACAAGTATACTAAGCAAGCTTAAAAAAACAAGTAGTATACCTCTTGAAGCAAAGAACAATTTTAGGCACTAACTCAAGCTAAAACCACTTTCAAAAGCTCCAAGATGGCTTCAAGAAACCTTAGCTCAAAGATGATCAACTTTGGTTAAAGTAGTGTATGCAAAAGTGTAGTGTAACTATGCAAATGTATACAAATTTGCAAGACAGAGAGAAAAATGCAGAGAGAGAGAGAGAGAGAGAGAGAGAGAGATTTTTGTTCCAAAATTTCTAACCCTCAAAAATGGGGAAGGAGACCCCATATATATAGATAAACAAACATTTGGCTGAGAAAAATCCATCCACACACGTGTGGAGAGATGAAGACAATTGTGCCAACAGTTGG